TTAAATGACAAGAAAAATACTTTAAGAATCGGTAATAATGCTGAAAGATTAGAAAAAGAAAAAAAACAAACATTAAACTGTATTTACAACTTAAAAAAATTCTTTAAAAAAAAAAATCTTTTGTGTTCCACTGAAGAAAGTAATCATACAGGTTTGGAACGACAAAACTTGTATTTTTGGGTGAATTATCCTTTTAACATTCTCTGACTGATGTCTTTGCCAATATAGGTACCTTCCAGGGCCAGTTCACTGGCGGCATGCGACATGGCTATGGAGTACGTCAGAGTGTTCCCTACGGCATGGCAGCGGTGGTGCGTTCTCCTCTGAGAAACTCTCTGAGTTCCCTGCGAAGTGAACACAGCAATGGGACACTCCTGCAGCAGGACATCCCAGTCATCACTGCCACCAATGCGTCCGGCCAGGAGATCCTGGTCAACGCGCCCATGCCTCTGGGCCCATCTCGTGGTGGTTTCGCCCTCACCCTGCAAGTGGACCCAGATGCGGTCAAGACCAAGAAGAAAGGCCTCTTCCGGCGCGGCTCGCTTCTTGGCAAGTTGAAGAAGTCCGATTCCCGCACGTCCCTCTCCAGCAATAAGAGCAAGATCAGCTTTTTGCGGAGTGAGTCAGCTCTCAGCTCCGCCGCCAGCGATGCCAACTCCACCATCAGCCTGGGTGAGAGCGAAGGGGAAGGGGAAGGTCACGAGTTTCCCCCGGTGGAGTCGGACATTGACGCCACCACCACTGAAGTCTACATAGGAGAGTGGAAAAACGACAAGCGCTCGGGTTATGGGATCAGTGAACGTTCTAGTGGACTTAAATATGAGGGCGAATGGCTGAACAACCAACGGCACGGTTATGGGTGCACCACTTTTACAGAAGGTGGCAAAGAAGAAGGCAAGTACATTAACAACATGCTGGTGAAGTCTGTAAAGAAGAAGGTAATTCAGCTAAAGGGTACTAAGATCAAGCAGAAAGTGGAGCGCAGTGTGGAAGGAGCCCAGAGGGCAGCTGCCATAGCCAAACAGAAGGCCGAAATCGCCAACTCAAGGTAAGGAGTGAATAATTTTACTGCTCACAGCAGCTGATTTTGGATATGGTCGGCTATTATTGTGAGAAGTGAATCAAACCGATGCTTTCTCTATTCCGTGTGATTGGCTGTTTTACTGCATGTGTCACACTTTCAGGTGCACGTGCCCTAGAGTTAATCACAAACTCTGGATCAAACTCTGAGTTGACAGAGAATGTTTATATCGAGCTTTGTGAGCCCACTGAACCTGATCTAAACCAAGTTGGACTTGTTTGGTTTTGTCAACTCTACACCTACTCTGAAACTCAGAGTTTGTTCAACTAGCTTCATGCAACAGGCCGCAGAGTGGACTGAACTGCTAAATAAATACATACATAAATATTTACTACTACTACTAATAATAATACACTCTCCACAAACCTCTTCTCAGCTAGATTTACCTCTAAGTTTCAGAATACACAAGCCCAAGCCAAGCCTGCCAGAGGATGTGTTTTGTAGGTTTTACATAATATGCGCAAGAACAAAAAAACATCCTGATGCCACCTTGGTGTTGGTTTCCAGACAGTCTGCCCAAATGCAAAAACAAACAGACTCAAAGCAGGCCACATGTTCCAAGCTTCTTTCCTATGCATGGCGTCTTAGTGGCTAGGCTGAGCTCCAGACATGATAAAGAGGAGTCTAACGCATGACACAAATAATACAGCTTCCCTGCAGGATAAAATATTTAGATTTCCACACACTTCTGACAGCATCTGCAGTTTATCATGGAGATGCTTACAGTTATAAACAGCGGGCTAATTTCAGGTGAAGTGGCTTTGATAAAATCTTCCCTCCTTGTAAGGAGATGCACAAGCCAAAGACAAACAGCCTTGGCTTCTCAGTCATCAGATGCTCGCTGCTGTTGATGCTCATCCCATAAAAATTTATTCAAGAATTATTAAAGATGACAACATGACAGCAGACTGAAACCAGATGAATCAAAGCACAAGTTTCAGGGGGAAAAAAAGACACTCATTCCTTATACATAAGCAAAACATTTATATGTCAGAATAACATACAAGACAAGACTGTTCAAATAAGGAGCTTACTGTGACTAAACACCTCCACGCCACTTCTCAAGTGTTTTAGCCAGTGCCAAATCATTGTTTGTAGAAGAGAAACCTGATCTTATCATTATCAGCAATAAGAGGCAGACTTCTGACACCAACCCAGACAGATCAGAAAGGCTAACTGGAAATCAAAACCAACACACAGCTGTCTACAGTGAACTTGGCAGTAACTTTTCTGTTGTCATTCAGTAATACACTAGGTCAAAATGGGGATAAGAACAGGAACATTTTTATTCTGCTTCTGAATGGTGTATGATTTATTTATTTATTTAGATGTTAAAGTGAGATAAGTGTATGTTTTGTTTACAATATGACTGGCATAAATTTGGTGGTGAAACATGTAATGCAGTATATGTTAGTTAAGGTATTTCCTTCTCAAGTTTCATGGTCCAGAGCAGGTTTATTAAAAATTTTATTAAATACCTTTGTATAGAATAAAATAGTAAACAATAAAATAGTATAATATAAAAAGTTATAAAATAAAATTGTTATAAAATAGTATGAAATAACTGTATTATATAAAATAATATAAAATTAAATTCTATAAAAATTGTATAAAACAGTATAAAATAACTTGGTATAAAAAATTGTGTAAAAAAAAAGTATAAAATAAAAATTGTATAATATAACTTAGAATAAAATGAAATAAAATAAAATAGTATAAAATAACTGAAATAAAATTTAAAATAAAATATTAAAATTAATTAAAATAATAATAGTATAAAAAAAACTTAGAATAAAACAATAAAATAACTTTGATTAAAATAAAATTTTATTAGCTACTGCTACCTTATATGATCCAAACCCCTATCTGCAACTTCCCTGTCCTATCTGTATCTTAACAGACCTCCTTGCCCTCCACTATTGATAAAAAGTAAAAAAAAAAAACAGTGGCCGTGGAGTTTGTTCAGGTGCCGGTTAGCCCCTTTACTCTAATCATAGTGTATTTAGAACAGCAGAGGGTCTTGTGTGGAAGACGAGACTCCTCGGAGGCCATGGCACTGGGTGTAAATGACGCACACGGGTCTGGTGTCAGAAAAGGAGGCCTGTCTAAAAAAGGACAGGCACTGTTGCTATATCACAATCACAGGGGAATGCAACAGCTGATAGCCTCTTTCCAATTTGGTAAACCAGTACAAAAGGGCTCTTGATGAGATTACAAAAAGAAATGTGTCAGCAATGGCATTGGATCATTCAGGGGATATAAATTTTGCCTATCCTGCAAATGAGTGAGAAGATGGGTGATATATAGATGTACTAAAACACCCTACTTCATTCATGAGTTCAGACACGGCAGCTCATTTTATTGGTGATTATCAGAGTACATGATACCCGGTTGCATAAAGTGATTAGACATATAAAGACTCTATGAAGTCTTGTAGGTTTTTTTTAGTGTCTTTAAATATTTTCTCAGTGATATTGACACAGATATTGTTTTTCTGTATATAAGCGTACATACATACATCTGAATAATGCTTGTCAATCTTATATTATTTTGATGAATGTGAAAAACCAAGATTAGAGAGAATTTAGGTCAGATAATACATCTATATTAGCCTGCTATTACATATAGCTTACTATCATTCATGACCATTCACCAGCAAGAGTGAATTATTGAATTAATTCATTAATTAAAGAATAAAAAATAAAAAAATATATATATAAAGATAATTCTTTAATCCATTCATTGAATTAATTCTTTCTGCCTTCTCTCTGTTAAAGTTTATCACCAGTCATGTAAATGTCAGGATGTGATATGAAATATGTCACCTGATAAAAGATGGGGGACAACACCATCACAAAAAGCTTAAACAAAAATCAACCAATAAAGTTTTATGTTTTTTATTTTACTTATCTGGTAGTACTCTCATCTCAAATGTTAATAAACAGGTCTTTGAACACGTCATGAGACCCAAAGTCTGAATTAAAAAAGTAAATTCCCAAATGCGAAGCACTACTAAAAGTTAAACTAGATTTGTTATCGATTTACATGTTGCAAAATGTCTCAAAAGTTGCATAAATGTTGCAAAAAATATGTAACCTATAGCTCAGAATGTTTCAGTAGTACTCATTTAGCAAGTTACGGGTTGGGTTTCATTAGTCTAACATCACTACAACACATTTTAAAAGCATGGTTCAGTTGTCCGAACAGCAGAAAATGCCATCCATATTACAGATCTGTCAACAAACAACCAACCTAGTTATGCAGAACAATACAATCCTACACGGAATAGGTTACTCGTTGAAAGCATGCTATTAAACATTATTTTCTATTCATAGCTCTTTTTTTAATTGTGTGTGGCAAAATTAAGAAATATTCCAAGTTGTTTACAAAAGAGTTCAAAACTTTACTACCGATTATGGAAATTAATTTCAGAAAGAATTTATGAAAGCATCTGCCAAGAACTTAATGCAGACATTACTGTAAATGTATATCTATGACATACTACTGAGAGGGTCTGAACTTTCTAAACGTTCCACTGACAGCCACCCTCAGTACAGTGTCTTTAAGTGTTCGGGCTATTTTGAACTCAGGATAACATTACAGTATGGAAAATATCACAGAGTAAATACTACATTGCTGTTTTTAATCAAAGTGACAAACAAAAATCTTAACCGTGAACCGTTACTGCATGCGTAAAGACAGACGTTGTTACAAAAGCTCTTATACTGTAAATGCAAATTGTGCTTTAAGAAAAAAAATTGTTTGTTGTGAAATTATGCAGCTGAAACTAAGGTTCTGTGGCTTGCACTGTAATTTTGCAGTGCAGTAATTACTAATGTGACCAACACAAATAAAACACATGAATAATTTTGCATGAATGAATAAAATCAATGCATACGGTAGAGAATAAAGGGTGGTCTTCTTTATAGCGGTGTATCGTAGCACAGCAGTTCTCATCTCTCACTGTGAGGTGCAGGGTGTTAAAAGAGTGATTTATTTTTGTTTCAGCTCAGTGGGTGAAGAGGACACCCTCTTCTGCTATAAATAACCACCTGCCATACAACCCCCAACACACTTCTTCCTCTCGTATTAAAGTCAAACACACTGCGAGCAACCCAAACTCTTGCAGCTCTTGGGCAATTGGGGTTTCTCTCTGGAACATTCTTCAGCTTTGTTGTTGATCTACTGAGTTCCTGCATTGAATGGGATGGGTACTGCATTGGATTCTTAAGTGCTGAGGGGATATTAACATTGCTTTTTATAGTGCAGACAACTGCTAACCCATCTCTCCAAATAAAGACGAGACGGGATGTCTTGGGTTGCTCTGGTTCTACTAGCAAGATACAAGTTGAAAATGGAGAAATAGATCGGTCTTCTACAAAACAAAAACAAACAAAAAAAGTTTCACGCCCATGCCTTTCCTCTCATAACATAAATAACCAACTACATTAGAACTGGTAGTATCTTTGCCACATTATGATAGTAAACTATTTAATCTAATGTCAGAAATAAACAGAGCTTTCCTTTAATAGTTCACCTCTGAAACACTGCCACAACATATTACATTTACTGTATGCATCTGTTGTACTGTAAACAGGTGTTAAAGTCCTAATTAATTTCTGTTTTGGTTTTATTAATGCTATAGAAACACTTGGACCTTATGGTTCAGCTGGTAGCGCATGTCACTAACAATTGAGAGAGATATTATTTTTGGGAAATAAAAAAAATAAAGAATATTTGAGCAATTAATAAAAAAAAATGGAACAATGTCAGTAGAATTATGCAACATTCAGAATAGAAATGAGAACACCTTTTAAATATAAATTAATTGAGATTTAAAAGAAATTAATGTAACTGCAATTTTTTAAGTTAAAAAGAGCAAAATTGGTCAAAAATATAGGTAAACAATATTTAAACATTAAACATATAATCCACAAAAGATAATATTATAAATATAATAACAATATTTATTAAATTATAAATATCCAATTATACTGAATAAATATTTATTTTTAATTAAATAGATTTAGTAATAATTTACTTTTATGGACCGGGGTGGAAGATCACTTCAGATTGCATTACCTGTGTTGACTTTCTATGAATTACAATTAAGTAAATTCTTCTTCCTTACATTCCAATTTAATTTACTCATGAACTAAAAGGGAACCAAATATTCAATTCTGAATTATGTTTAACAGTGGAAAAAAAATTAGTTTTCATACAAATTCTGTTATGTTTTTTCCCCCTTTTGATATTCTGTATCTGATATCAAATCCACAAAACTAACTGGATTTCTCAGCATTTACCAGTATTTTTTAAATTTAATACCACTGATTACATGCCTTTTTCCCTCTTCACAGAACGGCCCATGCCAAAAGCAAAGGAGACGCCGCAGAACAGGCCGCCATAGCCGCTAACAATGAGTCTAGTATCGCTCGTGTAGTTGCCAGAGAGCTCTCTCCCTCCTTCCATCAACCAGGTAGGTAGAAGACTTCATTGTTTGCTAAATATATAATCAACAGAGGCCAAAGGAACAGGGGCTGGTTCAGATCCTCCCAGTCCAGTGAGAGAGTGGATGCTTGCTGAATGCTTGTTAATCCAGACATAAAGTCAGATTTACAGTACAGCAGCATTCATCACAGAACAGTCTAAGTGCTGTTAATGTCTTGAGATCCTAAACCCCACATGTAAACATCTCTGAGTGTCTGAAACAGGATTAGATTGCTAAGACACAAGCCCCTCAGCAGCTCACCATGTTCCTGTGTTTGTCCATCTGAAGGGCACTGCTAAGCTCTTGATGGTTTTATTTTGGCACTGTCTGTCTCCAAAATCTTACACGAAGCTGTAGACGAGCATAACAAAATGCATAATTATAGTTCATTGTTTATTTTAATAATAGGCCATGGGATGTTTGCCTGCATTTGTTCTGAAGAGGTGATCACATTCCAGCTTTCTTCTTAAAGTGCGGAATTATTATTCCGTCCCTGACTGTTTGCATTTGTAGCCTCTGTCAGCTACCTGTCAGCCTGAAACTGAACATGCTATTCAACACCCTGGTCTTGTGTTTCAGTGATAAAAATACATTATAGGGTTCTTTTGCTCTTTTTTGAAAATGATAGATGATATCAATCAAAATAATCAAAACTAAAATAACACTAAGCTATTTATTTTGACATGATAAATTGGTTATAGTGCAGTTTATTCTATCATCTACTTTTTATGTTTTGAACATTAATCTGAGAGAGAAATTATCAGGAATGGCAGGAAAAAAAAGTTTATATGGTTTAAATAATCAGAATAACAAATATAAAAAAAAATGTACACCTCAAGAAATTAATTGCACTTTTGACCATTGTTTATGTTTTTAAAAAAGTAACTGTAAATGTCTACTGTACAAATTTACCTCAACCTCCAACAATTTCCAGAGAATATCAACTTATGTAGGGCATCGGTCGGCTCCAGAGCTAGTGGGGGCAGCAGAGAGCCTCATGCAGTTGTATTGGCTGTTTAGGAACACTGCAAAACATTGTTATTAGTGCACCTTTGAACCGATCATTTAAAAATGATTGTATGTGTGTAATATGTCAGTGCTAAATTATAATCAGCCAGTATCAATATCACTTATTAAACCTACATTCTAATAAAACATGCATCACATGGTGTCCCTCAGGTCCTGAGTATATAAAAAAACGAGCCTTGCAGGAGGTTGCTCAGAGCAATGAGAATGCAGACACGGGGATGCCCGAGCCCTTGTTAGCTGAAGATTCCATACCAACACTCCCGGAGAGCCCCTTCATGCATGAGCTGGAAAGTCTAAGACCAAGCTCCACCTCTGCACGCACCCCCTCACCCACTCCAGTCATCGTCCCTCAGGCACCCAGCAGGGAAGATCCCAACCTCTTGAGCCCTGGCAGCTGGAATGGAGACAAGACCAGTCGAGGCAGCGGTAGCAGAGGCAGCAGTCGAGCAGGTAGTAGGCCAAGCAGTCGACCCACCACCCCGTCTTCCACTCCTGCCGTTGCTCCCGCTACAGATGCCGCTCCTGAGGAACGTTCTGCTCCCAGCAGTAAGGTCCCATCCCGTACCCCTAGCCGCCAGAGCGCCAAAGCAGAGCAGGGTTCAGACCTGGAAATCAAAGCTTTGCAGAAAATGGACTCTGAGTCAAAAGTAGCAGAACCTGCCCCTGCTGCTACGCCAGTAAGAACCAATCTCGTCCTCACCACCGACAAAGAAGAACCACCACCTCGCCCTGCCCCCAAGCTGTACCCCAAAGCAGTCACACCAGAGCCAAAGGCAGCTGAAGTCAAACACAGAGATGCAACAAGAGAGCCTGTAAATGAGCGCCCAGCTTCAATGACAGAAAGCAAGCCTGAGTCTAGGACAGAAGTCAGGGAGGAGAAGAAATTAACCAACAGAACGGAGCCTAAACCGTCACCAAAACGAGAACCAAGCCCTGCCCCAAAAGCTGCACCAAAAGCTGAGCCCAAGTCAGTGCCTAAACCAGAGCCTAAACCTGTGGTCAAGCCGGTTGCTAAACCAGTTGCCAAGATCGAGGCCAAAACTGAGACGAGGCAGAGGTCTATTTTGAAAGCCCCTAGCGAAACGAGACAAGAACTTCTGGAGCTAGATGAGGTAAGGATAACAAATCAAACCTTGGTATTCTGATTACAAGTAAAATCTCAATTGGTAATTTCAATTGATTTTTAAATCCCAAAGATTGCAGACACACATATTTGAGATTTGCATAGCCTAACAAATTCAACAAAATCGCTTTTTACAACCTCTCTACATGTACATAACTACAAATTAGTCTTGTTAGATTTCCTAAGGAAAAAAGAAAACATTGCATTCCTTGGTCCCTTTGTTTCACTCAGTCCCACGACTCCCACCTCAAAACCCTTTCTGAACCTGTTCTGCTTCTAATTGTCTCTGGATTTGTGCATTTTGAATAATCAGAGCCCTGTTTTCCTTCATTAATCAATGAATCTCAATTTATTGTACAGTGGCCCACCATCCTAGCTTCAGATGTCCTCCCAAAGGGCCATGTTATGAGAAAGCTCATTCTTCTAAACAGCTCTTGAGTGGACTGGAACACACTGCTCTGGAACACCAAGATTGTGTTCCTTGAAATTCTGACCTGGCTCCGGTCCTCTGACCGCATTTTTCACAGGCAATACAAGCCCGAACCATCAAAATGACAAATGCTCACTTTCACAAAGCCCCTTGCAGTCTATCAGAAAACCAATTTTGCATTGCATCACAGCAGCATCTCGTGGCTCATTGAGCATAGGTCCCACCAATCAGTTTTTGGAAGAAAAAAATTATTTGTAAAGTGTAAAAAGCCCTACCTCTTGCAAATGAAATAAGTCAGGGGCTCTCAACTCTGGCCCTTGGTGTCCACTTTCCTGCAGAGTTTACCTCCAACCTAGATCAAACTCATCTGCCAGTAACTTTCTAGTCATCCCGAAGACCTTGATTAGCTTGTTCAAGTGTGTTTGATTAGGGTTGGAGCTAAACTCTGCAGGAAAGTGGACCTCGAGCGCCAGAGTTGAGAACCCCTGGAATAGGCATTGTATTTATTTGGTTCCTCTAATGCAGGGGTATCCAGTCCTGCAGAGTTTAGCTCCAACCTACCAAAACACAATTGCCGGTAAATTTCTAGCATTACCAAAAACCTTGATTAGTTGGTGTAGGTGTGTTTAATTAGGACTGGACCTTAAACTCTGTAGGATAGTGGACCCTAAACTCTGTAAGAATGTAGCCCTCCAGGAGCAGGATTGGGAATTGCTGCCAAGGTGTCCAATCCTGCTCCTGGAGGGCCACCTTCTTACTGAGTTTAGCTCCAGCACACCTGCCTGGAAGTTTCCAGTAGCCCTGAAGACTTCATTTGCTGGTTCAGCTGTGTTAGGGTTGGAGGTAACTCTGATGTAAGGTGGCCTTTGAGCAATTGCACAAGTAAATACAACCTAGAGCACCATCATTTGATTATTTTACTTTACACAATAGGCACTAACAGTTATGAATACTTTTTTTTTTTCGTAGGGGCCAAACACAATTATGATCTGCATGGTTATATTCCTGAACATTGGTTTGGCAATTCTTTTCGTTCACATCTTGTCTTGAGACGACAAAGCCTAAGGTAAGCTGCCACCACATATCCTGCATTTTTTCTTGAGTGAATTTCATTAAGTGCAACTGTTTTTTTTTTCCCTTGTAAAATCACTGTGGGTATTATTTCACACACCTTTTTCTAGCCAAAACCATCCAGGTGAAAGAAACTACCGTGGGGAGCTGTGAGAATGCACTGCGCTCCATTAACGGCTCTGTTGTTGCGTTATCCAGTTTCAGACCAGCCCTCCTAAGCTGCTCGAAAGTTGGTTGTCATCTGTAACTGGACTGAGTGCTCCTAAATGATTAGTGCATCTCAGTGCCTGAACGCTAGATAATAAAGCATTTGTGCACATTTGCTTTGTTTGTGAAAGGCACTGCTGCATTTAACAGTTCTGCTGAAGTCTAATGCAGGTGAAACTGAATCATCTATAAGGGCTAATTGATGTTAAGTACATTCACAATCACATCACATATTCTATAGAGCAGAACATGTCATTTGGCATGTAACATTCATCTTTGGAGAATAAACAAATAGTTATGACATTACGAAATGGGTCAATCCTGTTTTTTCTTTTCAATGGCTATAACAAACATAAAATCCTCCAGTGCACTAATGCTTTAACACCAGGTAGTGTCATGCATCAAAATCTCAGATGCTGTATGCAAATTCACATTTAATGTCTTAAAGTCTCCCCTGCATGATAAAGAGCAACATGGCTGAAAAAAAAAATGTAATTGCTATAAAACCTTCTAGGATTTTCCATAATGAAAGAAGTATTCCACAATACAGTAGAATACTTGCAACAAAAAGAAGACAAAAAGACAAGACAAAAGTTTTAATGAGAACGTTCTAATTAGAAAATGAGGTCTATGAAGATGTAACATGGTTGATTTTATTAAGCTAAAGCATCCCTGTAGAAAGGGTCTCCACAAGTTGGCGTGAGAGTTTTAAAACAAGAATCTAAAAATACCTCTTCACTGAATGGAAAAAGAAAGAAAGAAGGGAAAAAATTGTTGTGGCTTACTAACTGTTGTACTGTGAATTTGTGACGAATTTTCAGCCTTTTGTTTTGCCTGTATTAGTCATAAAACAGTATGCAAGAGATTTAAGAATGTTCAAACCAGATTGTGCAAATGTACATGTCCCAATGTTTTATGCATGTGTGCACATTTGAGTGTTTTTGTAAATTTCTAAATTATGGACATTATCAGAAAGTTCATGGTTTTAGCTAATTTAACCCTCATAGAGTAGTGTATTACCTCAAATTTGCAAAGGTCTTATAGAAAATATTGTTAACTGTGCAAAATGTTATTTATTGAATACATAAAGGGGTGTTAACGTTTTATCTGATTAAGTGTTTACAAGTCCTAATTCACCCAGAATAGATATTAGCCACTTGTTTCTTATATGCCTCTTAAATGTCTAAAATCACTAGAACTCACTTTGCAACATTAAATGTTTAAATAAGTTCTTCAGTTAGTATCTGTTATATGACTTTCAAATGCATTACATTTAGCTAATAAAGACATAGTATTCAGCATGTTTATTAATACGTTGCATTACTTGAGGTTTTCCTGCAAATTTCCCTCTTCACCTGACTGTTAGGTTTCTTGTTTCAGCACTCACAATCATGAATGGAGTATTACAATAAAAAAAAATGCACCACACAATTCAAATAAATGCGTTTAGACTGTACAACTGTCATTCTCTTTACTTTTGAATGTTAGCATTAGAACATGCATTCTGTTGCATTACATTCTCCATTATCTGCAGTGTATTCTACATTTACAGCCCCAAACCAATACAATGCTGTATCTTCTCTTTTCTAAGGAGAGGCAGACAAGGGGGAACAAAGAATATATATTTAAACTCCACCTGTCCACCAGCTTGAAATATTCTCCCGACAGGGTCTGAATACCACGCCCAATTTTAGATTAGGATGGTACACAGGCCTCTTCTAACACCATTTACTCTGAAACATGGGAAGTATATTTCACTCAGATAAAGTGGCAAGTCGTCAACACTTGTACATTAGCATTGTCAATAGAAAGCCTACAAGAAAGAAAGACGGGTCAATTAACATTTAATCAACCTGCTGCACTGTTCCACATCAGCCAGAGTGAGCGCCACTGAGACTAAAACAGCCATTTGTAAAGCAATATTGCCCTCTGCATTCAACAACGCAGACAGCTAACACTACACTCAAAATTGCATGAGTCTAAGGAAATCAGAAAGAATATTACAGACCAAAACTTAAACAAGTTTGAGGATTTTAGCTGATTAACAGGTTAAGCAAGTTATGTTTTGATAAATATTAAATGTTTTCCCCCCTGTGGAATAATTTTAACACTTTAAAATGCATGCAGACTTCCAAACTTCATGTTCAACACTGCATTAAGAACTAAGTATTAAAAGAAATTAAGCTCACTTGGTGTTCAATTTAGCTCTAATCAAAACAAAGCAACAAAGAGCAATTACTAGACAATAAAAATACTACATAATAAAAGTGTTTTTAAAAAAGCGTTACTAAAAAGTGGTTGAAGTACAGGGTCATTAGTCAAGAAAGAACAAAGGAGAACATGTAAATATTAAATTTTATTTCATTCAAGATTGACCTTTTAGCCAGTTGAAAACTGGAAAATGAGGAAAAGAAACAAAAAAATGACAATCGACAGGAAACCGAACAGGCAGTGGAAGTGAAAAGCTTTTCTAATATTCTTCACCCTCATCTTCTCCCTCCACACTCTCAGCTCCAACCTCCTCATAATCTTTCTCCAGGGCAGCCATGTCCTCTCTGGCCTCTGAGAACTCGCCCTCCTCCATACCCTCACCCACATACCAGTGCACAAAGGCACGCTTGGCATACATCAGATCGAACTTATGGTCGAGACGAGCCCAGGCCTCAGCAATGGCTGTGGTGTTGCTCAGCATGCACACGGCCCTCTGCACTTTAGCCAGATCCCCACCTGGAACCACAGTGGGAGGCTGGTAGTTGATGCCAACCTTGAAACCAGTGGGACACCAGTCCACCTCCTGCGCTTGGTCTTGATGGTGGCAATTGCGGCGTTCACATCTTTGGGCACCACGTCACCACGGTACAGCAGGCAGCAAGCCATGTACTTGCCGTGACGCGGGTCGCATTTCACCATCTGATTAGCTGGCTCGAAGCAAGCATTAGTGATTTCAGACACAGAGAGCTGCTCATGGTAAGCCTTCTCTGCGGAGATCACTGGGGCATAGGTAGCCAATGGGAAGTGGATACGAGGATAGGGCACCAAGTTGGTCTGGAACTCGGTAAGATCGTGTGCACTGGTCAGCCTGAAAGACATGATTCATGTTAATAAGGCAATTAAGCATTTTAGCCTTTTGATTAAACACCATTTAACTTCAAAGGCGTTGTAACTTAATGACTAACCAGTTTGCGAATCCTGTCCAGCACCAGGTCAATGATTTCTTTTCCAATAGTGTAGTGACCACGGGCGTAGTTATTGGCAGCATCTTCCTTTCCTGTGATGAGCTGCTCAGGGTGGAACAGCTGACGGTATGTCCCAGTGCGCACCTCATCTGGACAGACAGGTCAAGAAGAAATGTTTAACAAACGGAGCACTTTGACACACACAATTATCATAACTTAAATCAAGTCCCATTCTCTTACCAATGACAGTGGGCTCCAGGTCTACAAACACAGCCCTGGGGACGTGCTTTCCAGCTCCGGTCTCACTGAAGAAGGTGTTGAAGGAATCATCACCTCCTCCAATGGTCTTGTCGCTGGGCATCTGCCCATCCGGCTGGATGCCATGCTCAAGACAATACAGTTCCCAGCAGGCATTGCCAATCTGGACTCCAGCTTGACCAACGTGGATAGAGATGCACTCACGCTGTGAAGAGAGACGAGAGAAATTTATATAAAGATTTGTAGACAATACACATACCTTAGGTCAAAATTCTATAATTGCAAATAATGATCTGGCCATTCAGTTGTGCGTGTTCACAAAATAATACCACTAGTTCGTAAAGCTAACAAAAGGCTCTTTGATCAGCATGTTAACATATACATGAATGGAAACTTTTTGTACTCAAGCTAACTTTTTTTTTTTTTTTTAATTAATGCATTAAACAAGCACTGATAGAAAATGCCTACGCTGCAGATCAGGAACTGCTATAGTCACACAAATCCCTGACCACACAAACAGCTGACGAAACAGATCCACCTTTGATTCATTTTTTCAAAAGGTGGGGGTGGGTTTTTTTACTGTTTCATTACAGTGCGCCTACATTTCTTAACAATTACATCAACTTTTGAAGTATAAAAGAACTACAAAAAACGATTTTAAAGAGCTTTATTTTACACTTACATGAAATGTAAAGTGCATAAATCATTAAAAAAAACAACACAAACCAAGTGATGACATTAATTTTAATAAGTATCCAAGCCTAGTATATCACTAAACAATCTGAACTCGGAAACGGGTAAAAGATTCTGTTTTAGGCTGGTAATGCGCTAGGGCTGCACGATATATCGAAATGATCGGAAAGATAAATATCCCAACGGCGTGCGATATCATTATCATTTTAATAATAGGCTACTTAAATCAAAACGTTGCAAAAGGTCAAAGTTTTAGTTCGACGCATATAGCAGAGAATTGCTTGACGTTAAAAAGAGTTATTAAGTGCAATAAGTTGCAGAAAACAACTCTTTGCCGTCTCGTGAATATCGCATTTTTTAACAAGGTATCCCATTTTTTTTCAATATCGCACAGCCCTATCATGCACAAGAACCACTTGACCGCTTAAGCTTAATCATGAAGAACTTATTAAAGGGTTAGTTCACCCAAAAATGAAAATTAGCTCATAAAT